AACGCCATTCTTGCCTTCCCTCTCCTCGTCTCAGAGTCTCTACCAAACAAATCTGGTGTCATGGAGTAGGCACGGAACAAGGACTCCTCGTTCTTGTTGTGGATATCAGCATCTGCTTCATCGGCACCAGCGTTGGCGGTATCGACAGTGCCGCCTACATCCTCGACATCATAAGTATCGTCACGCTCGTCATCATCTGAATCGAAGGCGGCCAGGGCGGCCAGAATAGCAGATTTGTTGGGAGCAGAGTTCCGGTCAGAGAGGAGAGCGTCAGCGGTCAGTTTATGATTCTTACGACCGACGTGGAGGCGTGATGTGTCGACTGCGAGACGGTCCATTTCATCATTGTCGAAAATATTACGCCTTTCCGACGGTGGCGGTGTTGATCGAGGGGTTAGATGTGTCTTTATTGGCGTCGTGGTAAGTCTATATGTGTCAGTGATGGATCATACATACTTGAAAGTAAAGGAAGGAGAGGGCTGCAGTTGGAAGGGATACGAACAGTGCCTCGTAACGATCGGCTGTGGCGAGATGTGGGGGTAGTGAGTCTTCGAGAAGATGCGCGGTGACCTCCTCAAGGTTGTCGTTGTACTCGTCGAGAAGTTTAACAACAAAACCAGAGCCGAGATCAGGAAAGAGGTCTTGTATTTGGCTGACCATGCTCATCTTGTGGACATGTATCTCTCCAAAAGCTGGATGGCCAAACTCGCCAGCCAGAGCCTTCCCTTTGCCCTTGTTGACCTTCCGGCGGACCAGGTTCTTAGGACGGGCGACACTGGACTGCTGAAATGCACTGAGTGATGCAGCGATGTTTTTGACTCTTCCCCCCTCGGGGGTAGTAACGCTGTCCCTGACTTTGTGTAATAAAGGTGTGTTTGTAACCAAATCTGCAAGAAAAGTCCTCTTCGCAGAGTCGGCTTTCTGCGCCTGCTCTGCGCTCGTTTTGAGACTGTAAAGGTGATCAGATAAAAGAGAGTAGTTTGGCTTCGTTCCCGACAATAATGCTACGAGTCCAAGATATGCCACGGCCACCAACTTGCTCTGCATCTTTGGTGATACTTTGGGATATGCCGAGGATAGAGAATCCAGGAAATCAGACCCAGTCAGCATGAAGGTGCCAGCATCAGGGGATCCTTTTAGGAGGACGCCGATCTTGTTTAGTGACGCCTCAGCCTCTTCGGGCTTCCTTGAATCCAAGCTCTTTATAAGGGAAGACTTCGCAACTTGCAGGCTCTTCTCCAGGCTCTCTCCCTTGCGCTGCCATAGCCCCTGGAGTAGAGTACGTAGCTGCTCGCTTCTGAGAAAAACATGGCAGATGTTTGTCAGATTGATCCACTCTAGTAGGGGAGCAGGTATCGATGCGCCAGAACAGATTCTGTGAATTAGAAAAAAGCATTTCTTCCGCAATGGAGTGAGGCTTGGCGCAATATTGTCGTCTTCAGCCAGTGCTTTGAAGAACGAGACAAGGAAGATGATCAATGAACTATCCCCATCCAAGTATGAGGAGAACTCTCGGTCCTTCAGCCGCAGATATAGGTCTGATAATATCGTCCAGGAGTCCAAATACAGCTGCCATTCTTCCGGGAGGATGCTCTGTCGGACCCTGGCCTCAACCGGAAACGGCGCGAACGGGGGAAGCGACATGGTGGTAGACGGGTATAGAGCGCACAAATGAGGGTGGAAACTTGGACAGGCCCTCGTTTTATCTTCGGTTTCTTTTCTCAGCCCACAGTTGCGAAGTGATTGATGTTTTCTCGTCGTGGAGTCATCAGCGTGCAGGTCCATATGCCAAGAGTCGGTCACTCATATCGCACTAGTGTTCTATCTAGACTAGTGCCCGAAATTCCACCCCACAATCCAAAAATTACATTGCGCCAAAACGTCAACTCTTCAACGAACGCAACACTCGCCGTCCATCCACCACAGTCATCACGTTACAGTGATCATATAAAGATCCGAGTCGTGACTGCAATCTATCCGACAACATGTCTTACAGTGAGTTCCCTTGCGCGCACTCGATGCAGAAAATTAGAATACTAATCTTGCCTAGACAAGCCTGAGAAGGACTTCGGCGATGGGCCCAAGATCCACAAGATCCGGATCACCCTCACCAGCCGCAATGTCAAGTCTCTCGAGAGTGCGTAGTATCTTAAGAAGCCCACTGTTCCTCTGTTCGGAACGCTGACAACCCTCCAGAGGTCTGCCAGGAGCTCATCGACCGCGCCAAGACCAAGGATCTCCGCGTCAAGGGCCCCGTCCGCCTCCCCACCAAGCACCTCAAGGTCACCACCCGTAAGACCCCCAACGGTGAGGGTTCTAAGACCTGGGACATGTACGAGATGCGCATCCACAAGCGTCTCATCGACTTGAACGCCCCCACCGAGGTCGTCAAGCAGATCATCATCAACATCGAGGCTGGTGTCGAGGTTGAGGTTACCATCGCCGCATAAATGGCTTGTTGGGAATGAGTTGGAGTGGATATGGTGGAGAAGGGGGGGGGGAAGCTGGTCGAACTGGAAATGCATGAACATGAATGGACATGGTCAGATAATGAAGACTATGCCCAACAAGGAAGGCTTTTGCAGTGAAGATCGGTGACATGATTGTGTGATTTTCGAAGGGACATACACTGGAGATTTTCCGATTCTATGTGGTTTCTTTAAACGTTTGTCTAACATGCAGGGAAAAATTGTCAAAATATGGGCAGTGTTGATGGAGGTTTCTGTGTTTGAGGAGGTGCACTCATTCAGCTTGCCGCCATCAACCAACTTCCTAGCAAATAATCCATATGATCAATTAATCAACCCCACAACGATTCGCTTCTAGAGGCCTACTTGGGCAGTCCTTCTCACCCTCTCAATTAGTATCTAAAGTTCACTTTATTGCAATTGCGCACGCTTCAATCACCTACTCTCCCTTCCCGTAGTCCTCTTAAGTAGCTTGTGTCAAAAGGATGCTTCATTTTTGTTGTTTAATATACAGTTTTTAGATTTCCTCTGATTTGGTTTAGACAAGTTGAAACTCATAACCTTCTTTTTCTATTTTTTGACATTTTCCTAGATTTTATAGACTTCTAGCCAGCTTACCTAGTGCCTATAAAGGAGAGGAGCCTAGATCAGGAGCAACGCCGTCAACCAAGGCCTATCGCCCCAATACAAGCTCTTCACGAAAAACGGATCGATCTAATCTATCGTGATGAGGTGATAACATAGAAGAGCCGTTAAGCACAGTCTGCGTAATGAGAAAATACAATGAAAGTTGCCCTATAGGACAGCATAGTGGAGGGTCTGGAAAGCGGGTTCGGCACGTGTTTCTGCGTCTGGCGCAGTTGACGGGGAATAGGATGCCGGCTGGAGTTTAGTTCAGGCATCGACAATTGAGGGGGGCTGCGGATGTAGGTGCTGAAGAAAAGACCTGTTTGGACTTGTTGAATTATGAATTGAGTCTAATTGCACCACGGCGTAAGGGTTGAGAGTTATGAGTCGAGATCATGGTGAATGTTCAGATGTTGGGCTTGGGAATCCACTTGCGAATGGAAGGGAGTCAGGCAGGCTCAGAGTATGATCGGGTTTGCAGTGCTGACAGAAGTAGCCACGGGCGACCACCCTTCTCAAGTCGTGTACAGTAACGTAGTTGGAACGGGAATCGGTTGATATATGAACTTCCGCCAATTTCACAGCTCTAAAATGAACGTCTTAGGGGCAGATATGATGAATCCGAGCCTAGGACTCAGTATCAAGGATCCGGTTCAAGCATTGACCTAGAAAGCTATCACTCATAGAAGTATTAGACTGTATGGGGCTACCCGATTAGCGCCATCTTCGTGACCCAGATCCCCACCTCCCCCACACAGTGCTCATCGCCATTATGTGCTTTACACCGTCGGACCAGCGAACCTTCAGACCATTGAACCAGCCTACCATCGATTCGTCAAACCCTCGCCATACCCGTAATTCAAGTGCCTCGTAACGTAGACAACGTTCTGGTGGTAACCCGCCTCTCCTGACAGAGAATAAATGCAAGTTAGCATCCAACGATAAGTCTTTTCTTAGCTATCTTCCGGAAGCGCACACTAGGAGCAAAAGCCTCGTCTGGGATCAGCTATAACACTGATACGATTACCCTGGAAATCTGAGCAAAGGGAATCGATTGCGTTACTCTCCAACATAGATGCATAGGGGTTTGAAGCTCCCAAATGATGACCGTGAGGAGTCTGTACTGTGGGGTGGTTGAGCGATGGTGTTGACGATAAATTCTGGTCTGGAAACCCCAAAGGATCGCCGTGAGGAGTATGCATCGTAAGTCTAAGGCGATTAGGACGTGATGAGGACGTGATACTGACGCTCTGTCCTAGACGCGGAAAGTCAAGCGGCCAGTGGACCTGTGGGTCAGTGATACTCGCAACTTCCCCATACGGCCAGAATATGGAAAGAGCTTTATAGGCATTAGCACATCAGTTCTGCCAGATACTGCAGGTAGAACCCGGTCTCGAGCATCGCGTGAAAACGACAGGGAACCTAACTCCTGGTGTAATCTTTATCCTTTTAAACCAAAAAACTCCAAATACTGGCATACAACACTTGCATCGCGTCAGAGATAAGAAGTACAGCGCTGCCTGATCGAAATATCTCCTTGGAGCGGGAGAGAAATTCTCTAAAAAGTACGCCACTGCGACATTCTCGAGTGGCGCGCCATCAAATACCAAATCTCCTCATCATATCTTCAAATAAAACCACATCTACTCACATTAATCCCATCTCGATACCGCTCTCCCTTCAATTGGGATTCAGATTCCAATAATGTTCTTGCACCCTTCCATCCCACCCTACTCACCTCCGCGGCACAACACGAAATTTCAAATATGCACGCCCCACTACCCCCCCACCACCACCAAAAAACGTTTCATCGCGCCATCCCCAGCTTCTTTGGCCTCTCCCTGCCCCCTTCCAACGTCTCCTCTCGTCATATATTTTCCAAGTCTGCGAAAACGCAAAATCATGGGTTGTGTAGTGTAGCGGTTATCACTCCGGATTCTGATACTGCTCAGAATCATCTATTTCCGGCAACCCCGGTTCGATTCCGGGCACGACCTTGGTTAACTTTTTCTTTTTGGACATTTGGACATTATTTGGACGTTCATGAGTGAGAGAGAGAGGGGTAGACGGGGTAGAGGAGCATTGATCGTTGGAATTTCGGATTTTTGGTTTTGAGAAGGAACTGTGGGATGAAGGAATTGCATATTGGAAAGGGAGGGCTCTGAGTTCAAAAATGTAATATATATATTAGATATAGATCTTAGACAGCACATCATTCTTCATCCACCAGCTGTCAAATGGCCGTATCATCTCCTGCTTCTCACTATGGCCTAAGACCGAGATGCATTACATTTGAACATCATCTAGTCTGCCCCTTGTGTGCAATATCGTTCCCCCTCCACCTTTCCCTCAGTCTGCAGTCTGTAGCATTCTATCCTGCCTTCAAGCATGGCAATCTAACAAAGAATTGATCCCATGGGAGATATTCGTCGTAGGGTAGCGGTACCTGGCTGAACCAATTCCCTGTTGCCGCCTTTGCACCCTGGTGATACAATGCGGGACTGATACGTTGTGCTTTAGGATGCTGTCGATACCGAGTCCATACGCGTGGGTGGATGCTGACCGGAGGTCTTTTTAAGATGGCATCGTGACCAGTGCACGTTATTCGTAGACTCATAATAGGTTGTGTGATTCTTGAAGGAGGCCGTATTACAGCCCCACATTGGCTCAACAAATATCCGAAATTCAAGACAGATCCAATATCCTGCGTTTTGCATTTGTGTTGTAGTATGCACGTGGCCTTCATCACGCTCGTTTGACCCTGAACTCTTCTCCCGAACCGAGTGCCACGAGCTCGGTTAACGGCAGTCTTTTCTTCTTCCGCTCTTCCCCATCTGCTTGCAACAACTCCTTGACCTGTTCCACGCTGTACTTGCCGATGCGAATCTGTTTCACTGACCACCCTCGATTGTTTTTGTCTGCATCATGCGCACCGATCCATGCTTGGGCAAGTAAACTCTGAGCAATCTGGAGCCCGCCTGGAGAGCCTGCGGAAATGGTTCCTCCCAGCCACCAGACGTTCTTCACCAGGTCAAAGGAGTGTAATAACGCTGTCAGTGGTAGCGCAGACTCATGGACAAGATGAGAGGATGCATAGGGCTTGATCAGGTCGTAGGGAACGCCATGCGGGGAGTAGATAACGGACATAGTTTTCTCGCGATCATTGTTAGGCGAGGGCACAATGGTGCGAGGTGAGGATGATATGGTTCGTGGTGACCCTGGCGAGGGCGGTGGACTCATAGGCAGAGTCAGATAGTGGCCTGGGTTCAGGGAGAGGACGCTACAGGGCGGACGGTACGTTATGCCGATGGCATGGTGTACTCCTGTAACGTCTCTCTTCGCGGGGATCCATGTCACGGTGACCTCTCCGCACGAACCACGGGGGGAGAAGGGGGGGATTACGAGGCGATACATGCTTTTGGAATCACCTTCAGTATATTTAGGCAGGGTCTGCGCCAGTTGCGGTGCGAAGTGCTTCCATGACCGGATCTTTCTCGCTGCGGCAGGCGTAGCTAGTATCGTCGACTGGCAGTCCTGTGGAAGCTGGCGTAGAGTCTGTTCATGACAATGGTCAGGCTTGTCCTGGGATATCAATATAAGATCAGGCTCTTGGTCGAGCTCTTTTAGTGACGAGATGCACGGTGCGGCCTTTTGCTCGGAGATGGAGAAGAAGGTGCTTAATATCGTGGCCGGACCCGTCAACCAGGGATCAATGAGAATGGTGAAGGATCCTGGGAACAGGCCTGGAGAGGCAGGAGAGGATACCGGGGCGACGGGAGGGGAGAAGGTCAGGAGGAAGGCAGTGTCGCCGTTGAGAGCCCGCACCGTCAACGACATGGCAGCTCACCGTGGAAGGCTGCGAAGCTGAGGATGGATGAAGACATGGAGGGCAAGACGGGCTCGAAGCAAGGTCAAGACGTCAGATTCAGAGGTGCAAGTGCAACCGCCGTCAGCCAGGAAGTGAGCGCCGAGCCTCAATCAAGCGGTTGGCGTCCTTTGCAAGGAGCGCCACCAGGCTCGGGGGTAACCGCAGGCGGAGGGAGGGGTCCGTTGACGGTCGAGTCGGGGTGAGTGGAAACGAGAGGCAGGAACAGACTGCCGCGATAAAAATACATGCATGATTATGTCGACGTCGCGCGCCGGCTGTTCTCAACACCACCGCCGGCCACGTTTTCCAGATTGCTGCTGGCCCGGATATGCTCGATATTGGGTGCTCTCTGCGACGGCTGCACCCGTGAGCCGCGGCTCTCGAATGTCTGCTTGTCCCTCTGCCGGTCGACTTCGCGGGCTGGACGAAGATGGCTGCCAATCAGACTTTGCAGCAGCCAAGGAGACTGACAAATCGCGACCAGGCGACGAGGCCGGCGATCGAAACACCGCAGGCGAAAACACCATCAGCGCGCTCGAGGGGCGGATTCGGTGTCTCTCCAGGAACCATTGCGCAGATTGGCAGAGCCAGTGTCGGAGAGGCTCCTTCATGCGCTCATCTCTGCGCTCATCTCTGCGCAAAGGGGTTGATGCCCCCCTGAAACGCGACATCTATCGCATACCGTTGCACTAACAGCAGCACTCTGGAGCTCTTTTGCAGGTGAAAGGACGGGGTCGCTTGTCCAGCTCCAGCGCGCACTTTTGCCCGCAATTTGGGAGTCGTCCACGCACAGCAGGCCCGTCGGCAATCACGGCTGTGTGCCTGGGCTGTCGAATTGCAACGCAGCGTTGCAAGTTTGGGTGCCAGCAGCTGGCTGGACGAGGGAGCTCCCCTGCCCGGCTGCCAGTCAGCTCTGGCAGTCCCGCTCAGGAACTGGACGATGAATGAGCTGAGCTTGAGCACGGTGGCCGCACACCACAGGCTGTCAGGGGAGGCGGCAATGCGCTGCGAGACATGGCCGGGCGCTGCACGGCACTGGCAGACATTTTTTACAGCCTGCTGCCCGGCCAGGACGCGACAATTAGCTGTCGTGCCAGTGGACGGTTTCAAGCCCGAAAGGGAAGGCTCGTCGGCCCTCAAAGAGCTTTCGAAGCTTCCCCCACCACTGCCCCTCTTCCCCCATTATCCGCAAACAAGCCCAGCCCACCCCCCAGAGAAGCTCGCACACAGCTGCCAGAGCTTGCACCGCACCCAGCTTCGAAGCTGCCACCGCCCGTCCGCAGCTGCACCACAGCTCCGCGCCGTCCATTGAAGCGCCCGCCGTGCGTGTGCGCGCCCGCTGCTGCCGCTGCCGCTGTAGTCGTTGCTGCTGCTGCTGCTGCCGCTGCCGTCGCTGCCCTCCGCCTGCCCTCCGCCAGCCCACCTCGCACGGCCCCTGCCCGCGGGCTAGATGCAGGTGGTGATGCCGCCGCGAGCACCGCTCACAGGCTCGTTCTCCGTGTCGGACGAGAACAACGTCGTCGTCTGTCCGCTGCGCAACCACGATGGCTCTGCGTGTCGGAAGCGCTGCACCGGCGTGAGTGTGCCCTCTTCCCGCTGTTTGCTCTGCCCTCAGTCCTCCCGTCCGCGCTCCACGTCACTGCCACGCCGCCACCACCCCGACCCGGCTCTCGAGCACCATGAGTAACATGTCGCGCTGCACAGGAAAAGCGGTACCGCTCCATGCAAGAGCACATCCGCCGCGCCCACCCCGAGCACTACATCTCGAAGCTCCCGGCCACCGAAGAGAGCTTCATGCTGATGGTCAACACGCCCCCCTCCGAACGCCCTCCCCCGCCGCCAGCTCCACACCCCGCAGCAGGACCCCAAGGTCGGTGTCCGACTTCCTCCCAGCCATAGCGGGGACTGACACACTCACAAGGCTACGGAGGCGAGCACAATGCCTTCTACACCGACGGATACAGCTCGAGCACGCCGCGCACGTCAGACGAGATGCGCCGCGGGTCGCTTCTGCCCGCAGCCAGCGCAGCGGCAGCGCTGGCGTCGCTACACAAAGAGATTCCAAACTATGACTGGGAGTCTGACCCGGTAAGCACGCTCATGTCGTCGCTGTACGGACCATCCGGTAACAATTGGGCTGAACAGGAGGCCATATCTGAGCCGGACTCGAAGAGCTATCGGCCGCGCGCACGCTTTGCACCCACCACCATGGAGCAACATCTTGTTGCCGACGAGCCATACTACACCTCTAATATTCTCCAGCGCGAATTGCTCCCCTCGACAATTGCACGTTCTCCGCCCGGACGCTCTTCCACTCTCCCGCCAGTGCCTCGGTCTATCAAACCAAACAGACCCCGCAAGCCATCTGTGGGGCAGAATGCCCGTAAACCGAAACACGAAAGGACAAAGTCAAAGGAGCATGCGCGGAGGATGAGTCATGATCGCAAAGCATTCTCTGCAGAGCCTCAGGCCGCTGCCGCCCTGTTCGGCAAGAGGTGGGAGGACCTCATCGATGCAGCCGCTTCTGCAACAGAGGAAGACAGTAGAGACCTGACTCCTGTGGGTGTATAATACCGTTCCCAATTACGGCCCTGGCTAATCGCATTTGCAGGTACCCGGGTCACCATATCATTCACCACACATGTCGAATCGACTTTCCCTTCCCCCTTTCATTGCCTCTCAATTTCAATCCTACACTGCTTCTCCTCTACAGAACACACTGACACCGCCCCCTCCGGAGGCATTGGACCTTCAACCCTTCCCATCTGTCGAGTCGTCCATCGAGTCCGCCACGTCAGGACATAACTTCCACATCGCGTCTCAAGGCCTTTCGGACTCGTCGCCGACGTACCTTCAACCTGTGCAAATCTATTGCGCTGCATGTCGGAAACTGTCGATCCTGAAGGAGAGCTATGCCTGTTCGGAGTGTATCTGCGGTCTATGTCAAGACTGCGTTGATGTCTTAGTGAGCGAGCATTCAAGAGGTCGCATTGCGCGATGTCCACGGTGCGGTGCCGTGGGTGGAAAATTCAAGCCTTTCCAATTGGACATCAGATGAGCGATCTTGTAGTATTATTCTTGTCTTTCATTGATCTTTGGATTGGAGCTTTATTACGATGTCATGTTGGC